GTGCCCACGCCCCAACCCGGGGGTTTGGCGGGGGGGGGGGGTCACCTTGACCGAGATCGCGCTCCAGGCCCCAGGACGCACCAGGAGCCGTCCTGCTGCTGCCGCTGCCCGTTCCAGCCGAGCATCTGTTCACTCGGCATGAGCTGGTCGCCCCCTGTGCGCCAGGCCCTCCTCCAGGCTGGGGTATGAGGATGGATGTGACCTCTGAGCTCCAGCTGCTCCCAGCCCAGCGCGGGAGACACACAGAGGGCCGGAGAGCTGGTCGGACCGCTGTGGGGTTTTCACGTGAAAAAGGCCTCGGAGAGGAAAACCCCACCCGACCCCGGCCTTTCTCTGGGAACACGGAGCCACGCATTTTGAGTGGCGGACGGAAGGCAACCTCCAGATCTGACCGCCAGCTCAGAGCCCGCTTGCATAGACCAGACTGCCTGACGAGCTCCCAGCAGAGGCCCCCCTCCTCGCCGCCCCGCGCCGCCCTCCAGCAGGATTCACGGTGACCTTTCTTGGCGGAGGAAGGTCCCAAGCTGCCCGCGGTCCAGCCTGACCCGCTCCCCACGCTTCCCCACGAGCTGGGCCGGCGAGGCGCGTCTGCTCCCCCTCCCTCCACTCCCCTCCCCCATGACGCGTCTGGGATGGTGCTTCCTGCGCCGCGTTAGCAGAGAAACCAAAGGTCACCGTGTCTCCGGGGAGACGGCCCCGAGGGCAAGTTCAGCGATCTGGACTCTTCTGGTTTCTTTTCAGGAATTCCAAGACTTAGCTCGGGGATCCGGCCCGCGGGCTCCCCTTCCCACGTGGCAGCCCCGTTGGCTCGCGTGCGCCCCGCCTGGCGCCGGGGGCTGGGTCGCTGCTTCCTCGCTCTCCCTCTCCACCTCCGTGTTCCCCGGCGTAGCCGCTCGGCCTCCGTGGGGCGCTCGTGAGCAAATGAGCGAAGCGTGCGCCACGCCCTCCTCGACTGGCCCTCGTGGGCTCCAGCCCCGCGGCAGACGCGGCCCTGGGTCGACCCCGCCAGGTCCCCGTGCGCGAGGGGCGCACAGGCCGGTGGGCTAGGGGGCAGGGAAGCAAATCCGATGCTCCCCCGCTGAGGCGTCTTTAACGCGCACCCCCGGAGGCCCGTGGCAGGGCAGACGGTGGGCTTACGGCTTTGCGGAGTCGCTGGAGCGTCCCGGGAGGGGCGCCCAGCGGGCCGGTTCAGCGGGACCAGAGGAGGGGGCTGAGGGCAAATCGGGAGAGAGACCCACATCCGGGACGGGGGCCGTGGGGTGTCCGCCCCTCGATGTCCATTAGGCCCCTCTGGGTGGGCCAGCCACCATACTGGCGGGGACGCGGCTCCTCGCTGGGGGCCTCGAGGTCCGGGGTCTGGCGGAGAGACAGGCAGCCTTTGCAGACACCGACAGAGCAAGACCATCCCCAGAGCCGTGACTTCGGGGCACCCGGTGCCGAGGTCCCCGCGTTCACAGACTGAGATCTGAGCCAGGGAGAGAGGCCGTAGGTTACTGCGCACGAGGACGGATTTCAGAGGGTGCTGAGAGCTTACAGGGACGTGCAGAGTCCAGTGGCGTGGCCGGGTTGGATTCCCGTTTTGTGAATCATCTCCAGTTGCCGGCGGCCCACGGCAGCTGCCTTCCGAGTTTCTGAAGGTGCAGCCAGCAGGCTCAGACGTCCCTGCCTCTGGGTGTAGCCGCGTCACAGATCCTAGTGCCTCGGTCAGCGTGAGGCCTCCTGCCACCATCCTCCCTGCGCCCGCGGCCCAGCTGCCACTCTTCCCTTGTTGGGGCTGTACGGCTGGTCCTGAGGGCGTCAGGCTGCTCTGCGTGCACTCTGCCCACCCCCCCTGCTCCGGCTGCATCCTCTAACCCGTTCTGTTCTCATTCCAGAGCCCCGGCCAGAGCACCTCATTGTAAGTTGTATGTTCTTACTTCTTTTCATGCCTGGTAATTTTATTGGTTGCCAGGCATTGTGGAATTTACCTAGTTGGGTGCTGAATAATTCATATTCCTGCAAATATTATGGAGCTTCATTCTGGAACGCAGTTAAATTACTTGGAAATAGTTTGATGATTTCCCCCCCCCCCCCCCGGCTCCTCTCCCGCCACGAGTACAAGCATGCTTTCTGTCCCTCATGGCCTCGGAGACTAATTCTGTCTGTATTTTCTTTCCTTTCCTCTGCCCCACTTCATATCTGATCACACACTGACTCCCGGCACCTGTTCTAACACACCACCCCCCCTTAAGGAGTGCTCTAAGAATAGGACCACTGAACGTGCTTTCTTGGAGCTGCCCGAGTATCCCCAGCAGACTCAGCACAGTAAGAAGCTTTTCAGTATCCCCGAAGTAGCCGAGGAGGCTGGAGAGCCCTGTGAGCTCTTGTCCAAGCAGGGCTTCAGGGCCCGGAGCCGGCTGGCCAGAGAGCCCAGGCCCGCCTGGCCCTGCAGGGGGCCCGAGGCCCCGCTTGGCTCCCGGGTCCCTGCCAGACCCAGGGGACCCCAGGCCGAGGACTCCGTGTTCGAAGACAGAGGCTGTCGGTTCAGCCGCTCGGCCACCAGGAGCCCGGACAGCGGCCTGGGCTGTGGGAGCGAAGACGAGGAGATACGGTTTAGTTTCAGAAGCCCCGCTGCCCAGTGCAGCCCCGGCCCCGGGCACTGTCCCTGTAGGAGGAGCCTGAGGCCCCTGCTGGCCCGGCGCCGGATGCTGACCCGGCAGAGCAGCGTCGAAGAAGGTATCGGGGAGCCAGCGGAGCCCGGCCATGTCGTCAGCCGCAGTGAGGCCCGCCCGAGCCCGGGGCGGTCCACCCCCAGCAAGCGCAGCTGGGGCGAGCCCGCGGGCCAGGAGGACTTCCGGGATGTCTGGAAGAGAAGCATAAAAATGTCCGACAGTAGGGCCAGTGCCCGACACGCCCAGCCTCCTCCCCGGGCTGCGGACGGTCCTTTGGTGTGTGAAGTAAACACCCGCTCACATCCGCTTGCCAAACCAATCCGTTTTCATTTTTTCACCTTCTTTTATTTTGGTGTCCGTCCCGGGCACGCTCTCTGCTGGCTCTCGTTAATTTTCCATGCATCTTTGATCTATGCAGCTTCCCAGTCTGGAGCACGCTGATGATTTCTTTACTTTGCTTTAGAATGATGACCGCCTACCCCCAAATCAGTGATGAGTGTGGCTGCTTTAATTAAAGGACAACTGAATCTAAATTTTAATTAAGGGTTAGCTGAACTACGATTCTCCAAAAGTTTGGCAACACATACTTTGCAAAGTGAACCGTGGGGACTTACTTAACAACTTACAGGTATTGCTGAAGGTTTTTCTCTCGTTGTGGTTTTGGTTTTTGGTTGTGGTTGGTTTTGGCCTTCATCTATAACTGAAAAAAAAATAGGGAACAATGATTGAAGAGATCCATTTTGGCATCTGTTTCCAAAGGTTTTCTTTTTCTTCCCTGTTTCTTTCCTGCGACCAGTTTTCAGAATGACTTTTCCATCATCAGCTCTAGACCCATCCCCCTGCCTTGTCTTCCAGGCTTGTGAGTGGTTTTCAAGAGTAGGGATTCCTTCAAGGCTTCATTCATCTCTATATTGTGTCCTCTTTTCAGAACATTTGCTCCTGTCATGCTGAACTTTTCCATGAAAACACAGGTGAGACCTCCCAGGGCTCCAGACCCTGGGTCTGAGCCGGTGCAGTTTGTGATGTGTTCACTAGAGGGCGCCGATCCACAACCCACTGACACCAGCAAACTGCAGCTCACTCCCTGTTCCCCGCCTCTAACAGACTAATTTCCGTCACTCCCAACCCCGGTTCCTTCCCTGTGTCCCTGAAAACTTCCTGACTCAAATTACCAGTGAGCTGGAGGTTTTGCTTTGATTCTCATATATGATGCGATGCACACCTGTAGTGTGAATCAGAGGCAGACTTATCCGTAAAGGAGGACCGTTCAGGTTAGCCCTGGAATGTGATTGGTGTCTTTGGATTAGGGCCAAGACGTTGCCGTGAGCTTCCAAGCTGATAACACAAAGAAACTTCTGTCTTTGAGTTTTTGGTAACCTCACATGCAACTTTGCCCAAGCGGGACATTTGGAAACGCAGTGTTTCCCCCGCTTTTGTGGTCTCTGGAGGGGCTGTGCTGAGACTAGGAAAGAGGGGCCGAAGGTGTGACGAGTCATCTTTAAGCCACTCTCACTGTGGTTCAAAAGATTTGGCTTCGGCGGCAGTAGCGGCAACAGAAAGGTGCCTCCCGAGGGATGCTCTCTCGCCCCTACCCGTGTGCGGCAAAGCACCTGTGCTGTAGGAGACGGGGTGCCTGGGGTGAGCCCTTCTTCCTCTTCCAGGTTATTCAGCTAACCTTTCAGTTAAAAGCTAAGTTTAGTTGCCTTTAGAGCTTCTGCTTCTAAGTTGAATTGATTTGGCTGACAATTCTTTCCTTCCCACGGCTGGCAAGCCTTATGACCGTGTTGCTGTTTTGTCTTTAGATTTTAGGAAACCCGGTGACTGCTGGACGGGCTGATCGGGTGGATCACGTGGGCCGGAGGTTTCCCCACAGCAGTGCCAGCCGCCACAGGTCCCGGCCAATGATGGTCCCGTCTGCCGGTTAGTGGGCCTGATGCAGGCCTCCTTCTTTCTTTTAAGCACAGAGCACGTGGCTGCTTCGTCCTCCATATAAATATTTTTAAAAAGTCATTAGTGGCGCAGTGGTTGAGAGTCCGCCTGCCGATGCAGGGGACGCGGGTTCGTGCCCCGGTCCGGGAGGATCCCACGTGCCGCGGAGCGGCTGGGCCCGTGAGCCATGGCCGCTGAGCCTGTGCGTCCGGAGCCTGTGCTCCGCAACGGGAGAGGCCACAACAGTGAGAGGCCCGTGTACGGCAAAAAAAAAAAAAAAAAAGAAAGAAAGTCGTTAGGAATAGCATTTTCAACTAAATACAGGACACCCTCGGTTATTTATGGCAGAAGAAGGCAGAAACAGCACAAGATAAATACAACTGAAATTTAAGTATATTCTCAAAATATATTGACTTTTGACAGCAATCTTTTCCCTACCAGCTTTTCTTTTTTCACTGCAGAGGCTGCCATGATAGGCACTGAAGAGATGGTGACAGGCCATCTCCCCACCTCCTAGGTCATGCTCTCGTGAGTTGCTCATGGTCAGAGCAGCAGAGGTGGGGATGGTGGCCGAACTCCAGATATCTAAACAAGCCCTGAGTCAATGGAGAGTTATCTGTATGCATGAAACCCTTGGACAACTGGGGTTGAAAGTTATGAAAAACGCCAGGAGGCCTTAATGTGTGCCCTGACCTGTGTGTTGACCCCGTCCATCTGGTCACCTCCTTGTGCATGAGTCATCCTCTGGCATCCAATTCCATTCTCTTAATTACTTTTTGGAATTCAGCCAGCTGTGCTGAAAGCTGTCATTGTAGTCATTCTAATCAATCCGCTAAGAGGGGAACGTGGCTGAAGGTCAGATGGGAATCTTTCTACTACTGGAATGAACCCCGGCAAAACAATTCCAAAAAGTATTATGCACAAGATAATGGAATCTGGTAATCAGCACAAATAAACTAGCTTTGTGTGAAAACACACACACACACACACACACACACACACACACACACACGAAACAAAGCAAGAGACCCACTCATGGAACAGAAGTAGATGAGAGCAAAACATCTTGATCTGGCGAGACAGGGCTCAAGGAAAACCGCCCGAGGAGGTCCAGACACCTGAAAACACAGCCCCCATCACATTTAAATAGCTAAGGTTTAAAAGACAATTGTTCACATCACCCCAAAATAATTAAAGACTTTATGCAGCAATACAGATCCCCTGAAGTTCCATCCTTCTTTCAGGCGTTTCTTCCTCATAGAGTCCAAACAATAGGGAAACAAAAGTTTCCTTTTCCATCTTTACAGTTTTTAGAATGTTTTTATTTTGTTTTTTGTTTTTTTTTCTTTATTTTTGCGGTACGCGGGCCTCTCACTGTTGTGGCCTCTCCCGTTGCGGAGCACAGGCTCCGGACGCGCAGGCTCAGCGGCCATGGCTCACGGGCCCAGCCGCTCCGCGGCACGTGGGATCCTCCCGGACCGGGGCACGAACCCGCGTCCCCCGCATCGGCAGGCGGACCCTCAACCACTGCGCCACCAGGGAAGCCCTAGAATGTTTTTATCAGTAAAAAATTTCAGACTGTTAACCGACCTTTGAAAACACAGAGCATATTCATTTAGCTGAAAAGTAGCAAAATAAGCTGAAATATAGACAAAATCAGCTGGAAAACACCAGTTTCACTTACTACAGACCCAGTAGCAGAGGTCTGTATGTACTGAGCTCACTCTGTTTTTGAGTGTTGTAAACTGCTGCCACATCTCTCAGAGCTTCATTTACTGTGTGTATAATTCCCCCTGTAGCAATTACGGAGGTCAAGTAGGTGCTCCTGGCTTGTAAAGTAAGTGACTTGTCAAGACTGACTGTCTTGAGGAACGAGGTGGGGACCAGTTCAAGACTGTTCTCCCTGTTGAGCTTGGTTCCTGAGTCCTCGTTCGACTGTGACTTTAGTGAGTGAATGCTCATCACGTGAACTGCCACCCTTCCCGTGGCTGCAGATAAATGGCGCGGCACCAAGCACGGGTGTGCTCTGCAGGACGCCTCGTGGGTCTCCTACTCCAGTCTCCTAGGATGGAGAAGGAAAGTCTACAGGACTGAAAATAGCGGCGCTACAAATTGCCAGCTGGGCAAGGGGGTAAAGGAAAACCTCAGTGGACCCACAGTCTCCCCATCAGAGTCTCTAACAATCATTCAGTCAGTTTTGTCTTAAGGTAAAGAATGCAGAAGACTGCACACGTGTCTTAATTTTGGTAAAGACACTAGCTAAGTTGGCAGAAACAGAGTAGTGCTGTGGTAACAGCTTAACCAAAAAGTCCGTTAATAATAGAATTCGAAACATGTTAAATAAATCCGTGATACAGTTGCCTTCATTGTACCTGATTTCTCATCATGGAGAAATGCAAGAAATCATGTAAAAGGCATAATTAATATCAAATACTTTATATATTCATACACATAGATACATACACAGACTGAAGAACCTATTATAATTTCAGAAGACAAAAGTGAATTGTGGGACTTCCCTGGTGGCGCAGTGGTTAGGAATCTGCCTGCCAATGCAGGGGACACGGGTTCGAGCCCTGGTCCGGGAAGATCCCACATGCCGCAGAGCAACTAAGCCCGTGCGCCACAACTACTGAGCCTGCGCTCTAGAGCCCGCGAGCCACAACTTCTGAGCCCGCGAGACACAGCTGCTGAAGCCCACACGCCTAGAGCCCGTGTTCCACAACAAGGGAAGCCACCGCAATGAGAAGCCTGCGCACCGCAACGAAGAGTAGCCCCCGCTCGCGGCAACTAGAGAAAGCCGGCGCGCAGCAACGAAGACCTAACGCAGCCAAAAATAAATTAATTAATTAATATATTTTTTAAAAAAAAGTGAATCGTGTTCTGCAGCTACCAAAAAAGAAGAGAATCATGCCCCAAACCCTAGGAAGTGAACAGTCAGTGACGTGTGAACAGACTATTTTCCTAGATCTAGTCCATGTGTAACCGGCAGGGGGGTCCGGCCGCTCGCTGCTCAAAAGCCAATAGGCCAGGTTGATGGAAAGGAAAGTTTGCTTTATTTTGGATGCTGGCAACCAGGTGGTGGCGGGGGACACTTGTCCAAAGGCCGACTCCCCCCCGCCCCCGACAGTCGGGGGCAAGCGCTTTTATAGACGGAGGGAGGGGGCTACGTGCAGAAACAGCACAGGCAGCCCCGACAGGCATCTTGAACTTGGTCATCGGTCGTCTGACCAGCGCCCCCTTGATTGCTTTCAGTACAGTGAGTCTTCAGTTCCAGGGTCGGATTGTTCCCATTTCCTTGAGGCCAGTTCTCGGAATTGTGGCAGCTCGTGTCATGGCTACAGCCTGGTCATCGTGTAGTTCACTTCCCCACCTGGTGTGGGTTTCAGTGTCTACAAGACGGCTCCCAGGACACGGCTCAGGATATGATCTGTAGCCCTTGAGGAGGAGCTAAAGGGCCCTGATTATGCTTAATGACCGAACTATTATGATTTGGTCTCCTCTGTTTTCCTTTGCTTCTGCATTTTCTCACTTCTCTGATTAAACTTATTCTTTGGCTGAAGCTTTTCCGCAGACAGAGGCAGGCGGAGGACAGGGCAGGGTGGGCAAGGACCATAGGGCCCTGCTCTGTTTCACCTGTTTAGTTATATTTTCCTTGTGCAAGTATCAGCAATTAATACTTTAGAAATCTGCCGTACTCCAAAAGCATCCATTGTCTTTTTCAGAGGAACGTAAGTCTATAGACCACATGCTTCCTAAATATATTTTTAATAAGCAATGCATTCACAGTTAAAATATACTATACTTTTTTTTTTTTTTTTTTTTCGATATGTGGCCCTCTCACTGAGTTTAAGACATAAAGAGAGAGAATTTCTTGGGTGAGTAATGGATACCAAACATAAGTCTTGCATCAAGAGATTACTGTTTTGTCTCAAGGAGAGGTATTTACCCTACTAAGTACTTCCCATACACCACTGTCTAAGCCTGGGTAGAGAAATTAAAATGAGGCTTTGTGAAATGTGGGCTTGGCCAATTTTTTTTGCGATATGTGGGCCTCTCACTGTCGTGGCCTTTCCCGTTGCCGGATGCGCAAGCTCAGCGCCCATGGCTCACGGGCCCAGCCGCTCCGCGGCATGTGGCACCCTCCCGGACCGGGGCACGAACCCGTATCCCCTGCATCGGCAGGCGGACTCTCAACCACTGCGCCACCAGGGAGGCCCTACTTTTCATATACCCTGGGTTTCCTAAATTAAGAAAACAGTGCCCCTTCTGATTTAAAAAGATAAAAATTATGTAGCTCCACATCTCATAAATTCTAAATCATATAATTAGCATAAGGAAGGCCTCATAACATTGATCAGTGACCCCAAAGGAGGATTTCAGTGGGTTTGGTTTCTTCCTCTCTAATGTTTGGTCTTTGCATTTATCTAGTTATTTACCTGTCAGATGAAAAGGCCCAAGGGTATATACCATTCTAAACACGAAGGGCCACATTCAGGAGGGCTCTGTTCTTGCTGACCGACTGTGCAGGTCTCCACCCACCCACCCCACTTTCCCCAGTTATTTTGGCTACTGACCTTGTAGAGCAAAAGGAAATGGAGCACATTTTCTCTGTGTCCAGATGAGAAAAATGAATAACGAAAGAAACAAAACGTGGCCCTCTAGAAAGGAGACTTCTCCCTGGTTTCCCTGCAAGGGGAAGGTGAACAGCTGTAAAGTATGTTTCACAGGTGACGCCCTTTTCCTCCGTGGAAGTTACATTGGACAGGAACAGTGGAAGCGCGGCCCGTGGTCAGGTAGCGAGGGAGGACGTTCACCTGTAAAGGGCGATGCTTATTCTGGCAGCACAGGTGGCCTCGGGAGCCGACAGGGGCCAGTCATGAGCCCCGACTTTGCACATGGTGTGCGGACCCTTCCTCCTTCCTGACAAAGACCCCCCCTCTCACCCCGGGCCAGGACATTCCACATCAGGGCAGAGAGAGGAGCGCCCACTCGCAGGTCAGACCAGCAGCTGGAGATAAGTTCTTCCTTGAGTCTAGCCTGCCACCAAGAAAGAGAAGGACCTCTCGGTCGCCCACTTTGGTCCCTGCGAAGCCAGATTTCCATGGACACGTTCCATGGAGGCCACTGTTCTCTCCCCATGAGGTCTCATTCTCGTACAGCCTCTAGTATACCTTCTCTGGAGGAAACAGTGCAGTGACATCACAGCCACTCGTGGAAAGACGCGGGTGTTCTGAGCCCTTATTGTGTGGTCAGAACAGTATAATTTACTAGCAGATGTTCATTCTCTCTCTGTATATTTAAATGTATACATATATAGTGAGATATATGCATATGTATGATGATATCTAATAATACATATGCATATATATTAGGATTTCAAAAAGAATTCTCTTTAGAAGCTCGATGGTAGGTAGACTTGAAACTCAATCCCGCTAGGAAGTCATTAATTTGCTGTAATGCATTTGTTGCCACTTATCTATTTGGGGCTAAGTGAGCAGCTTGGTCACCTATATCAAACTTTGACTAATACACAGATGCATTTCAACGTCCATGTACTCTGGCTCGGCTGTTATGGAAACACACAGAGGGGCTCCAGGTCTCTGGCCCCCGAAACAGGCCTGTGCGGCCGCGTCCTAATCCCAAGGGCTTGCCCACCTGCCGCCCCTGGTGCTCAGGCCTGCCCTGCAGGGAGGTCTTTGATACAAAGTCCTTTATCTCTCTCCCTGTCTTCACGTGCAGCACACCTAGGGTCATGCTGGTGCCTGTGTTATGTACTAGTTATTTGCTTGTCAAACCCATCTCTGTCGAGATGATCCATTTCTGCCTGCATATCAAGCTACCCATTTTTTTTAAAAGACAAAAGTTAAAGTGCCACAGCCTCCCAAAGTGTGGGAGTTTCTAAAACCACACTTCCTATAACAGCTCATGTTTCTGGGTAAAGCTGGGGGATGGCCGCGGGAATTACTTAGCACCCTGTCCTTTATCCCACATGCTCCCAGATGAGTACGGTGGGCGGAACCGGCTTTCTCCAGACTTCTACGAAGAGTCAGAGACGGACCCCGGGGCGGAAGAGCTCCCGCCTCGGATCTTTGTGGCCCTTTTTGACTACGATCCCCTCACCATGTCCCCGAACCCAGATGCTGCGGAAGAGGAGCTTCCCTTTAAAGAAGGGCAGATCATCAAGGTGGGGGAATGGCTGGGGGCGATGGGGAGGGCACGGTGGGCGGGGGGAGTAAGGGGGAAGGATGGGGAGGGGCTCTCACCAGACCCAAGTTCCTTCACACATCACAGGACAAGCTGCTTTCTTTTGCAGTCCACGTTCAGCCTTCCTCTCAGCAGAGGAGGGGGGCCTGAGTCTGCAGTCGGAACGAAGAATCAAGATGCTCCCTAGGAGAGGGGCAAGAGCCTTGAGTCCTAAGTTTGCAAATTTCCAAAAGGGCACTGACAACTCGCCTTTGAAAGTGGTCCTAATGTTTGATCAAACGGGGCCTTTAAAGGATGGTGATGCTTACCCCACAGAATGGTACCTGCAGAATCTCTTCGTTAGTGAGAGATTTTTTCACTTCCAGAATATCCGACAGTGGGACTGTCTTCTTATGGAAGAACCATTTGCACTTCTAAGTGGGGTGGGGTCTCATCGCCTGGCCTCAGCTAGCAGCCCCCCTCCTTGATGGGAGGCCCAGGGGCTGTCCAAACCCTGGAGGAGAAACAGGTTCTTAGAGGTAGAGATGTACAGGGCGAGGGCTCCGTGTACACATTTACACCCACGTGCCCGTCGTTTTAGTGTCCTTCAAGTCTGTTTCTGACTAGGTATGACTCTGTCGTGAGTAGAGCTGATGTGTTTCTGAACCAGCCCATCCTTCCCACGGCTCCAGGTTTACGGTGATAAAGATGCTGATGGATTCTACCGCGGGGAAACCTGCGCTCGGCTTGGCCTTATTCCTTGTAACATGGTCTCTGAAATCCAGGCAGACGATGAAGAGGTGATGGAGCAGCTTCTCAGACAAGGCTTCCTCCCCCTGAACACACCTGTGGAGAAAATAGGTAAGAGGCAACCCCTTGCTCACCCGTGAACCTGTAGGCTGCGAGGCTCCTGCCCTCCTGAGGGTCTCATAGCAAAAACACCAGCTCAGAGCAGGAGACAGCGCTGCGCAGGATCCCACCTGCACCATCTGAACGTGTCAAAGGAAATCCGAGTGTTAACCATCGGCTTTTCTTGGGCAAAACCCACTCGGTAAACCAGGCTTGTGATAGTCTTGATGCAATACGGACGTATAGGCACCTAAATATTTATGAAGCCACAGATGATCTTCTCAGGGAAGATAAAGTACAGCCTTGCTTACTAAAGGTCTATCACATCTAGAAAATAAACAACTGCTTTTGGGTTGTTCTGGACTGAATGTTTGTGTCCCCCCAAAATTCATTCATTGAAATCCTAATCCCCAGTGTGATGGTATTAGGAGGTGAGGCCTTTGGGAGGTGATGAGGTCACGAGGGTGGAGCCCCCCATGAATGGGATTAGTGCCCTTATAGAAGAGACAGACCACAGAGAGGCCCCTCACCCCTTCCCTCATGTGGGGACACTGTGAGAAGTAAGCCGTCTGTACGCCAGGAAGGAGGAAAGAAGGTCCTCACCAGACACCAAGTCAGCCAGCACCTTGGTCCCGGACCCCCAGCCTCCAGGACTGTGAGAAATAGGTATTTGTTGTCTAAGCCACCCAGTCTGTGGCACTTTGTTATATCAGCCTGAATGGACTAAGACACTAGTAATATACTTTGAACATTGCGTGTCGATGATAAATTTCAAAGAATGATGGGGTAGTGTTATGCCTTCCATTCTTCAGGTGAATTTTGCTTATCCAAAAGGCATAAAAGATTTTTACCCTTTAATTTGGATACTAAATGCCTTCGTTTATCGTGAACCACTCTGCAGCACCAGTGAGCCAACCAACAGCAAAACTGTTTTCAGCAACATTACACTTATGATCTTTAATTTTTCCCCTGTGCAAGGAAAATCTACTCATTCAAGAGGCCTCTACTTTTTCTAAATAGCTGTAGACAGAAATACCTGTTTTATGTCATTCATATTTAAAGTTTTAATACTTCAAAACATTAGATTCACTTCTAAATGACACTCCGAAGACAGAATTCAGTGGTTAAAGAATATGCGTGGTTTTAAGGATAAACACAAAATCAAATAACATGCCTCAGACTTTTTGGTGTTAATGAGCTCATGGTCTCAAGTTACGATCCACGTCGAACAGTCGAGGTTTCATATGATTAAATTGCCCAGATTAAATCCACGAGGCTGCAGCTCTCTGAGCCCCTCACACCATCCACTCCCTTGCACTGCTGTCTTCTTTCCTGAAGTGGACGGTGAGTGTTCGTAGAGGGAGCGGGGCTCTGTGCACCACAGACCCAGGGAGCCTAGGAGTGATCTGCTAAAAAACAGAAACTTGATTTACTTGATCAGTTAGATTAAATGTCTTTTTGTTCCATTCTAGTTTTCTAAATGTGACTAGTTGAGGGAACCAAGCTGAGGTATCTGCTCGCCCCTCTATTATTAGGAAATTGGCTTCTTCATGGTGAAAGACCGAATGCTTTCCTCCCAAGACTGGGAGCAAGGCTGCGATGTCTGCCCCCACCTCTTCCTTCCAGCATCAGGCGGAGCGTGCGGTACGGGGAGAGCCAGGAAGCAGTGGTACACAGAATGAAAAGGTGACATGAAAATTTACTTTAAAAATCTCACATATCTATAAATAAAGCTCCTAGAACTCACAAGTGAGATTAGCAAGGCCAATGGATACAAAAGCAATGGTATTTCCATAGGTTAGCAATGAAAAATTTGAGATTTAAATTTAAAAAGTAATACCACTTAACAGTAACACAATGCAGATGTGAAATACTTATGGTTAAATCAAACAAAATATGTGCAGGATCTGTATGCTGAAAACTATAGAACACTGATGAAAGAAATCAAAGAGTCCCTGAGTGAATAGAGACAGAATGCTCATAGACTTAATGCTGCTAAGATACTAAGATGTCAGATATCCCCAAACCGACCTATAGATTTCATCGCAACTGCAATGGAGGTCTGCGCAAAGGTTTATGTAGAATCCGTAAGCTAAATCTTTCATGCATATGAAAAGTCAAAGGAACTAAAATCGCTAAAACAAGTTTTTAGAAGAACAGAAGTGGAAGACTCAACGTAACTTGACTTCAAGACTCACTATAAAGGCAAACTGATCAAGACCATGTGGTATTGGAGAACGGCAGACACACAGATCAACAGAACAGAATGGAGCCCAGAAACAGATCAACACATACACGGTCAGTTGATTTTCAACAAAGGTAAAAATGCAGTTCAGTGGAGAAAGGAGAGTCTACTCAATAATAGGTGCTGGAATTATTGGACATCCACGGGCCAAAAATCAATCTCAAGCCATAGTCTCACCGTATTAAAAAAACTTAACTCAAGATGGAACACTGTCTTAAATATAAAAACAAAGACTATAAAACTTCTAGAAGAAAACATAGGAGAAAAACTGTGATGATAGGGCAACAATTTCTTTGATATGATATATGTTAAAAATTGTGTTAGACGTCATCAAAATCAAATACTTCTCAGCTTAGAAAGACACCATTAAGAGGATGAAAAGAGAAGCCACAAGCTGGCAGAAAATATTTGCAAGTAACTCGGCAGAAAGGGATTTATATTTAGAATACAGAAAAAACTTTCAAAACTTGACAATAAAAAACCCTCCCAATAAACAGAAGTTGAGTTATGGATGTAGAAAACAAACTTATGGTCACCAGGGGATGGGGAGAGAGGGATAAATTGGGAGATTGGGATTGACATGTACACACTACTATATATAAAATAGATAACTTATAATAAGAAACTGCTGTATAGCACAGGGAACTCTACTCAATACTCTGTAATGGCCTATATGGGAAAAGAATCTAAAAAAAAAAAAAAGAGTGGATATATGTATATGTCTAACTGATTCACTTTACTGTACACATGAAAATAATGCAGCGTTGTAAATCAACTATACTCCAATAAAAATTTTAAAAAATTGTTATCATAAAAAATAAATAAAACCATCAATTAACAAATAAAAAAAGAGCCCAGTAAAAATGTTGACAAAAGATCTGAAGAGATCCCTTACCAAAGAAGATATTTGGATGGTAAATAAACATGTGGAAAAATGCTTAACATCATTAGTGAATAAAGCCATGATGAGAAACCAACACACACCCACTAGAATGGCTAAAATGAAAAAGACTGCTCATACCAAGTGTTGACAAGTGTGGAGCAACTGGAACTCTCGTTTGCTTGCGGTGTTACTGAACCAGACTTGGGTCCACTCACCTGACGTGCAGCAAAGACAATTTATTGACATCAGGTTGTGGCGAAGGAAAGTACAGCATTTATTGCAGGCGCCAAGCGAGGGGAACAGGCAACTCATGCTCAAATGAACCAAACTCCCAGTGGCTTTCAGGGAAGAGTCTCTAAAGCAAGGTGAGGGAGGGGGCTGCAGGGTGCCTGTTCAGCTTGTGGACCTTCTTCTGATTGGTTGGTGGTGAGGTAATTGGGAATCAACATCATCAATCTTCTGGTTCCAACCGGTCTGGGGTCTACGTGCTGGTGGTCGGCAGTTAACTGCTTCCAGCTGGTGGAGGTTTTAGTATCTGTAAAACCGCTCTCAGAATAGTACCTATAGCCCTTGAGGAGGAACTAAGGATCCTTGACATTGTTTTCTGGCTAAACTATTGTTATTTTGTGTTGCTTGACCTTTTTCCCTTGTTTCCACATTTTCTCACATTTCTGATTAAATTTGCTCTTTGGAACTTGGGGAAGGCCTAGGAGGCTAAAGGTTTTCTACAAACAAGAGGCAGGGGACACCGTGTGGCAGGGTGTGGGGTCTGTCCCCAGGAAGGCCCTGTAGGGTTCTGCTCGGTTTCACTGGAGTGTAAGATGCTACAACCACTTTGCAAAACAGGTATGGGTTCCTCTAAAGTTAAACCTACACTTACAATCCAATCCTATCCACTCCTGTATACTTAGCCAAGAGGCATGAAAACATGTTCACACAAAAGGCTGTACATGAGTATTTATGGTGGTTTGACTAATAATCACTGATAAGGGGAAACAACTCAAATGTCTTCCAGCTGGTAAATGGATAAAATAACTATGGTGCATCCATACAACGGGATACTACTCACCGATAAAAGTAGAGCAAACTATTGATCCGTGCAGTAACACGAATGGATCTCAGATGCATTGTCCAAAGGAAAGAAGCCAGTCTCCAAAAGCCAGTCTCCAAAAGTGTGATGCTATTTAAACGATATTCTGAAAAAGGCAAAACTACTGGGACAGAAAACAGGCCAGTGGTTACCCAGGCTGGAGGTGACAACAAGGGGGCATAAAGGAATTTTGGGGGGTGACGGAGTTTCAATATCTTGACGGCTGTGGTGGTTATAAGACCGCGTGAGCTTATCAAAACTTGCTGAAGTGGGCACTAGAAAGAGTGAATCGTACTGTACGTAAACTACACCTCAGTACAGAACATGTGTATTGTTAATGCCCCCTTCAGAAATTCATCCCTGCAGAAAACATCCCCTGTGAAATTAGCAATATTTAGCAGCATTGTGCTTGACCTCTGGTTACCACTATACTTTGCTTCAAGGAAACATATGTCCTGCAGGTCCTGCAAAGGTGTGCTTGCTTATTTTAAATGAAAGCAGTGATTCTTCTGTGTTTTTTTGTTTTTGTTTTTTAATTTATTTATTTATTTTGGGCTGTGTTGGGTCTTCGTTTCTGCGCGCGGGCTTTCTCTAGTTGCGGCGAGCGGGGGCCACTCTTCATCGCGGCGCGCGGGCCTCTCACTATCGCGGCCTCTGTCGTTGCGGAGCACAGGCTCCAGACGCGCAGGTTCAGTAGGTGTGGCTCACGGGCCTAGTTGCTCCGCGGCATGTGGGATCTTCCCCGACCGGGGCACGAACCCGCGTCCCTTGCATCGGCAGGCAGATTCTCAACCACTGCGCCACCAGGGAAGCCCCGAAAGCAGTGATTCTTGACCACGAGCTGAGGGTTGAATTTTGCACACCCACTGCAGGCCCTATACCTGCCACAAACCACTGCAAAGCCACATAACTAACGTTAGTTGCTTTCAAAACACCTGCCTTTGAGAGTTTTCATTTCTATGGTTTGAATTCCAAAAATTAATTGTAGGTGAAAAGCAGCTGTGTTTAGAAGAAATGCTTCAATGCTGGCTTTCTCCAGGAGAAATATCATTTAGAAATCCAGACAACAGCAGTTTGCCAGGGAGTTCGACAATCTGGGCCAGATCCCACGGTTCTCCACTGACCCTTCTTATAAGCGCGGCTGTTTTCAGAGTTTTCGCCTCTGCTCCGCATGGGGTTTCCTCTTCCCCCCCGGCTTGTGCTGCCGTGTGTGCTGGGATAGTGCCCTGGGTCTCCGTCTATGGCAGATCACAGCCAGGCAAGGGGAGGGGGCCTCCCTAGAGCCTTCTCCACAGGTGGCATCGTTTCGGGGACAGCTGGTAAAAGCACAGTGGCAGGGCACTGGAGGAGAAAGCGGTGGGAGGGACCCTTGAGATGGGTAGAGAGGGCGCCGCTTTCTATGGACTCTTGCTTCTGTTGATGCCAGGCCGGTGGCCGTGCCTCTGGTCTGAGCGAGAATGACTTGATTCTGTGGCTTCACGGCAGCTACACGGGCAGCAGTTTTGACCCGGCGTTTGCGGGGCTTCCTGCGAGCGAGGTGCCAACCTCCAGCTGGCCCAGTGGTCCTACCCATGCCACACCCACCCGGTGCCTCCCCAAACGGTTTAGATCGACTGTTGCAGAGAATCAGTCTAAGTCTGCCTTGTTCACGGATGTGCTGGAGAAAGGGGTGGGAGCTGCCCTGGCTTTGCTGGCACTAGCGCCCAGTGGTCGCCTCGGCCACACTGGCCATCTGTGACCCGGCTCTGAAATCACTTCATGGTGGCTTTCTTTTTCTCCTGTGACATGAACAGAGAGAAACAGAAGGAGCATCAGGCAGCCCTCGGTGGCGACGCGGAGGATGGTGGCCCTGTACGACTACGACCCGAGGGAGAGCTCGCCCAACATCGATGTCGAGGTACCGGCCAAGCACCCCGCACCTCTGCCGACAGCACTGCTCCCTCCCTGCCTTCTCTGGACCCGTCCGAGGGCAGGGCTACCTGACCAGTAAATAGGGACCCAGGCATGCGGGAGAGAGGTCGTGAGCCTGGTGACACGCTCAGGACATGGCAGCCACTGACATAGGGTTTCCCTGGACCAGCGCCGGGCAAGCCCTGTGACCCACAGCTGGTGGTGATGGGTCGTCCTGGAGAGAGAAAGCAAAGCCCCCTGCATGTGGCCACTGACCCTCCTGGCCGCCACACACACATTCAAGGAAAATAGAGAAGAAAGGATTGGTGTTCTCTGTGCATGTAGTTTTGCACAGGTCCTAGGAACCTTGTGAAAACTGAAATGGATTTGCCTTCAGAAATGAAAGATTAGGTTTCTAGTCTGTGGGGCTGCTTTCTTAGATGACAAGATGTGTACCAATCCCTGGTCCTCGGTATTTCTGTTACACCTGACGGGCGAGCAGCTCGTGGCTCAGATTCAGAGCTCAGGTATATTCAAATTTCTGTACAGGCTTGATGTGCGTATGATGCCTGATGGCTCTTAGGTATGACCTTTAGTCCCTCTTTTCACGTCTAGAGATAAAAATGCAATTTTTTCTGGTATCCTCTGCTGGATTCTATGCACCCACCTCTTGCCTGGAGCCTGGCATAGAGTAGACACTTAATAAATAGACATTTAATTACAGATTTTTTTTTTACACTCAGTGAAAGGCTGTTTGTGCAAATGGTCCCTACGCTGCAGAGAACATCTCCTTGAGGCCTCACGTTTTTTAAGTTGACTATTTGACTGGTTCTAAAGACGTGCCGCCAGCAGAACGTGGGGACGACCTTGAATTCTGGCCGAGAATCAGAGCCCGGCAGCCCTTTTCTTGTAGGCTGGAGTCATCATGACATATCCTTACTTTCTAAGAGGCTAGGGACAGAGGCATTCATCAGATTTATACCTTTCCTCCTTATTTGACTGAAAGAATAGGTTCATACCAAAATAATAAGAAAAACAGAGAAATCATGAAGAACTTCTTTTTTTTTTTTTTTTTTTTAAAGCAACTTCTGTCTCCAGGGGAACACTTTTAACTTTATGTTCTGTCTCTACAGGCTGAACTTACATTTTGCACCGGAGATATTATTACTGTTTTTGGTGAAATTGATGAAGATGGATTTTATTATGTAAGTTTTGAAGCATCAGGTATATATATATATATATATATATATATATATAAAATTTTGCTTGTCTCTTCTTTCCCCTGAAATTATGCATGAACTCTGTATGGCTTGCTGACGGGTTGGCTAATTTGCTTGTCTCCCTTCCTGAGGACATACACTATAGGACGGCAGTCGTGTAATCTTCACGGTTCCTTTTTCTCTAATAGGGGTATTTTCGATGTATACAAGCTGTCAGCAAAGGAAGGGTATTCACGTGTTTACACTTAAAATTTCCTCCGTCCGGACCTTTACCAAACAGTTTAACGTTCTGGATTACTTACTGCGTAGGTAATAAATACATTTTCAAATAGGAAAAGGAAGAAATACAAAGCAGCATAATTAATTAACTAAAAGCCTCCTCGCTGACCTCCTTCACGCAGCCCTGTGGACCCAGCCTCTGGGGGGCAGTCCTGGCTCTACGCCGGCGCCAGCCTCCTTCCTTCTCATTCCCCTTCCCGTGGAGGAGCCGGTCTCCCGATAATCCCCGAGGAAGAGAAGGTGGTCATCTTGGCGGCTCCTGCCCGGCCAGACACCCACCGCTGTCCCCTGCTTTGGGAGTGGGGTCACCATCTTGCATCAGAGTCCAACCTTCCTCCTTTTTCTTTTCTTTTTCTAAGAGAATCAGAGTAGCTGAGAAACTCTCAGGTACTGATATGGCAGGTTTCTCTTGGGGTCAGAGGGATTTTACAAACTCAGGCACACGTGGCCTTTCAAAGCCCTCTCCTCTGGGCAGTTTCTGAGTTTTAAGAGTATAGTTTTTAGTGAGACTGTTCATACCGTTACCGACCAGGGTTCTTGGCCTCCTTAATCAATAGACATTGATCAGAGGCCAGACAAGAAATTCAGGCAAGGCTTTACTGGGGCCCCTGTAGGGGCTGCAGCAGGGGGAGCGAGAACCAGTAACAGGTTCCCTTGATGGCTCCCTGAGGGGGTGCCAGCTGCTTCCTTCTATGGGGTGAGGGTAGGGGTGGGTCCAGGGGTCGGGCTGGAGGCGTGGCTTAGGAGGTCTGCCCACCGCTTAGGTGGTGTTGAGTGCAGGGGGCCTGCGCAGTGCCCTGCTTCTGCTCCTGACACCCTGTTTTTGCTCCTGGCCCTTCAGAAGTGGCAGGTTGGGTTTTTTTTTTTTTTTTTTTTTTTGGTCTTTTTGTACCTTGTTGTCCGTAACTTGCCCCAACTGTGCATGCACGCGCGGTTATTCTTAGTCCCTTATAGTTTCTTTGTATTTTGTTGCTTGAGGAGGTGACATCTGTCCAGGTACAAGCACTGCAGCAAAGGGTCCCAGGTCCCAGCCGGTCTCAATACTTTGTCCCGTATGTTGCAAATAGTTCTTTTTCTAGGTCATTATCTGCTTTTTAACTTTTCCTTTTGTGTGTGTGTGGTTTTGTTGCTTTGTTTTTCTTTTATGCAGCACAAGTTCTGAATGTGTCTGTGGTCAATTTTGTCTGCCCTTGGGAGCCGTGCTTAAAAAGTCCTTCAAGGTGATTGATAGAAATTATCTTATTTTGGTTCTTCACTTTTATAGCTTCATTTTCACATGTAAATCTCAAGTGTTTAACTTTATTTTTGATTTCTAATTAGAGAAACTAATGTCCCCACACCACTTACTAAATAATCCGTCCTTTCTCCACTGGTTAAAGATCCTATGAACTGCATTCCTACCTAGAGTGTTTCTGGACTTCAATGCTACTTGACACTATCTCAGTTATTATATTTTTAGAATTCATTTTCATATTTGGGAGGAACCGTTTTTGTAACGAGCCTGCCCTACAACAAACCCATAGTGTTTTGTTTAGAGGTGCTTTTAGTTTTTAGGTTAAACTGGGGGGAACTTGACATAATACTGTCTTCGGATTTGGACACATGGTGTGTCTGACATTTTTTAAGTTTTCCCTTTCATCTGTCAGAAGGTTCATGAATTTCTTCTTACACATCCTTTTATATATCTTTCAAAATTCATTCTTATGTTCTTGCTATTATGATTTTTTTTCTGGTATATATTTTACTGATTATTTAGAAAATATGTTGGAAATGTGTGTGTGTGTGTGTATGTGTATGTGTATATGTATGACTGTGCTTGTGTATGTGTGTGTATGCAACGTACACGTGTGTGTATATATGTGTACATGAATTGTATGTGCACATGTATATTGAGTGCACGCACATGTGTGCATGCATGTGCATGTTTATGTGCATGCATGTGTGCCCATTTATGTGCACGTGTGTTTATGTATGTGCACAAGTGTGCATGTATGTGCGCTGTGTGCCTATTTATGTGCACGTGTGTGTGCATGTGTGTGTGCGTGTTTATGTGCATGCATATGTATGCACTGTGTGCCTATTTATGTGCATGTGTGTTTATGTTCCCCTAGAAATCTTTTTTCTGAATGCATTTATATCCATTGTCATCAGTTGGTTCTCTCGGGTTCCCCAAATGATGACATTTTGTCTTTTCTTCAATATTTATCAGTCATCTCTTTTTATTGTCTTATTATTGCATCATTGAAAACAATTCTGAATGACAGGGACGGGGGATCCCTGACAGTCTGTATTTTAGGAGGAATATCACTAATCTTTACAGTTATGTGTTAGGCTAGATTATCGATAAAGATAGGTGGTCTTTATCATGTTAAGCATCCTGTTTTTCATTTGCTGAACTTATTTTTTTTTTTTTGGTCAGTAAATTACTGACCATGATGTATAACTATTTTTTTTACAATTATTTTCAAAGCACTGGATTTGATTTGCTAACATTTTATTCAGAAGTTATATTTATATTCCAGAAATTATATTGATTTATATTTACTGGAGTATCTTTCTTTGTGGCTTTTGGTATCAGGATTATGCTAGAATTATGAATGAACTGGTAAGCTTCCAGTAATTTTCATGCTCCGAACAGATTAAATGACATAGTTAAGATCCTACAATTACATGAAGGTTATTACAACCTGCCTAAAGATCTTTTCGGTTCAGTGTCTTTTTAGGATGCAGTTGTATAAAAGTTTTCACTTGCTTAAATAACTATCTTCTCATTGAGTGAATTTTTTATACTTTGTATATGTTTAGAAAGCCATGCCTTTCATCTAGATTTTCAAACATACAGACAAAACTGGGCATAGTATCTCCTGGTAATTTAAACATATTTTTCTAATATGATCTGCACGTTCCCATTCCTACATTGTCTTATCTACTTTATTTTCTTGAACAGCCCACCTAAATTTTATATGATAGTAGGAATCAGATCTAAATTGATACGTACATGTTTTAGTTCTCTTTCCACCAGATGGCTTTAGTATTATTTTGTTGGTCAAATTTGCTGAGTAGACTGCCCAGCGCAGTTATTATTTCTTTTTTGATAAACAAGAACCGCGGATACCTAACTTAATACCAGAAATCTTAAATTTCGCCACACTTGCATTGTCTGACATCATGTGCAATCTTAAAAGCTCTCAAGAGAGCTAACTTGCAGCTGTTTTATGGGACCTAGTCCTGTCATGTCTTCCTAGTCTCTCCTCGGTTCCACCGCATCCCATAATGAACAGAGTGTAGACAGAGGGGCCTCTGCTGTCTACCTGGGCCTTCCCCTCCACAACTCACAGCATCCCCAGTGAAGTCCCTGCCTTGTCTCCAGTCATTTGAGACTCCCAGCACCCCACAATGCTTTGACCCTCACGCTGTGAGGGTTAGCCAGATGCTTGCACTGCCCAGTGTTTCAACACCCAAACTCTTAAATCATATACTTTGATAGGTCAGAAGGAAACAGGCCGTACAGTAGCATTCTAAAGTATTAAAGGGAGCATAGGAGGAGAAATGTGCAAGCGTGATGGGGCCCCGTGCTGACTGGGCATGGGGAAAAAGGGGCCAGGGTAGACTGTAACGTTTTCTGCCGCTCAGCCCAGCCCAGCGGATTCCAATTCTGTTCGAACGTTAAGGTCTTCACACGGTTCGTATCTGGCCTCAAACACAAAAGCGGTAGAAATGAGGCTCGAGGAGGAGCTGAGATCAGACTGTGAAGGGTCTGCAAGCGGGGGAGATGTTGTTATGGTCAAGGGCTTCGCAAGTGGACCGTTTAAGGGAGGTGCGAGTCCCAAGAGGCCAGGCGACGAGCCCAGGTGATGGGGGAGGCTGACAAAGATAGGCTCGAGGCCACGCAGGGCTCAGATCTGTAGCTGTGACATCTTCCAGGAGGATCTGCAGAGTCTGCCTCAGCCGGTGGGTGCCCTTGGGAACACAGAAATAAGGACACGGTAGCGAGGAAAACACGGCTTAGAAACTATTGAGCTCGAGGCTACAGAGCCCCTCCAATGTGGAGGGGGACTCACGCAGGCGCATGATTCTAGCGACCACGTCCTGTGCCGGGGTACGTGGCGGTGGACGCCAACAGTGAAGTCGTGTCGTGTGCACTTTTGACGTGTGATTTAGCAGAACTGTGCTGGGAGGCCCAAGAGAAGAGAGAAAACAATGAAGAGCACAGGCAGTTCCCTCCACCGCTGTATCGGGGAGCCCAGGGCAGGGCTCAGCCCGGGAGCCTGAACACGCGGGCCTCTGTCGGTCGTGGTTCACACAGGTGCCTCTTGAGATGTGAACATGGTGCTGATGGGGATGTGTGTGTAAGGCTGTGCCTTTTCATAGAATGTAGCCCCCAACACGAGCCAGCTACTCCGTCTGGTGCTTACCTCTGGTGCTGGAGGGAAAATCTGGCTGTTGGACCTACTGAGAGGTCTGGACTGGACAGACGTTCCAGCGCCTTTGCATATACATGTTGTCTGCAAGTGCTGGCGTGGAAGAAATCACCAGGGAGACATGTACAGCAAAAAGCAAAGCTGTCCTAGAAAGAGTGCCTGAGTAACACCAACGGAGAAAGACAAGCTAACAGTGGAGCCTGAGGTAGAAGGGCTGAAGCGGCCACAGGTGAACAGGAGGGTGGGATCTTCAATGTCAAGGCATAAGGAGCTGGTGGGCGACTGGGCACGTGGCTGTTGGGCTCAGGAGGGATTACCGCACAGGAAGACATGGGGGGTACCTGGACCTGCCTCTTTTAAAAAAATTAATTTTAATTTTTAATTGTGAGAAAATACACATAATTTACCATCTTAATCACTTATAAGTGTACAGTTCAACAGTGTTAAGTAGACTCACACTGTCGTGCAACCGTCACCACCATCCATCTCCAGAACTCTTCCATCTTTTGCAAAATTAACTCTGTCCCCATCAAACACCAAGTCCCCACTGTCCCCTCCCCCTAGCGCCCACCCTTCTCCTCTGTCTCTAGACTCTGACTACTCTCCGGACCTGTGTAAGTGGAATCACGCAGTATACGTCTGCTTATGACCCTTCACTTAGCATAATGTCCTCAAGGTTCGTCTCTGTTGTAGCATAGGTCAGAATATCCTTCCTTTCTTAAGGCTGAATAACACTCCACTGTACCACATTTTGTTCATCCGCTCACCTGCTGATGCACAGCTAGGTTGCTTCCATCCTTTGGCTATTGTGAAGAATGCTGCTATGAATATAGGTACACAATTCTCTCTTCAAAATTCTGCTTTCAGTTCTTCTGGGCAAATACCCAGAAGTGGAATTGTTGGATCATATCACGTGGTAATTCTATTTTTAATTTTTTGAGGAACCACCGTACTGTTTCCTCCATAGTGGCTGTACCGTTTCACAGTCCCACCGACGGTGCACAAGGGTTCCAATTTCTCCGTATCTACACCAACATTAAAATATGTTTATAGTAGCCATCCTAATGGATGTGAGGTGGTATCTTGAGGTTTTGATTTACATTTCCCTAATGAGTAGTGATGCTGAGCATCTTGTATGTGCTACTTAGCCATCTGTCTTTTTTTTTTTTTTTTTGAGAAATTATCTGTTCAAGTCCTTCGCCCACTTTTTAATTGGGTTGTTTATTTTGTTAAGTTGCAGAAGTTCTTTATATATCCTTTATAACCCCTTACTAGATATGTGACTTGCAAGCATTTTCTCCCATTGTGTAGGTTTCCCTTTCACTCTGTTCATCACGTTCCTGGATGCACAGTTTTTCATTTTGATGCTGTAGGCTGTCTCTTTCAAGCTGCCACCATCTCCTACACCTACTGGACAGAGAAACACACTCCCAGGTTGTCTGGGGCCAGTTCTGAGCTTGGTTTTGGGTTCTGTGGGGCAAGTCGGCACTGGCGGGGGGTTGATGTGGTGGGCTGTGAGCTGCTCGGGACTGACGTCCAGTGGGCAGTTGGAACCGTGTTCCATGCATGGACACGCGACTGCGTAGAAAGGTCCGGAAGGATATATACCCGCCTGAAGCAGTCACCTCGAGGAGGTGCCAACACTTTCACCTTCCCCTCTTGGGTGCATTCTTACAGTGAGGCTGCAGCGACGCACAGGATGAAAGATACCAGGTGGAACCGGTCGGCCCTCTCCATCCTGCCCCCGCATGTGACACCCGCCCCCCAACTCCGCGCTCTCAGTGCACCCAAGCAACGCTGTTTGTGCAGGTTCCCATGGGACTCAGACGTTGGTCAGGGCTGAGAACCTCTAAGTGAGGTGCTCCCCAGGACTGTTCCTAAGCGTGCCTGACCCTGAGAACCACCCAGGCCCCTTGGCCGAAACAGGTCCTCAGCTCCGCTCCAGACAGGCCAGATCGAGACCTCAGGGCGGGCGCCGGGACCCTGCACTTCGAGCACGTGGCCAAGCTCTCTCTTGTGATCAGGGGAGTCCGGGAACACTGGAGTCCCGGTTCTGTCTGCCACTTTTGAGCCAGAATAATCTCGCTACTCTGAGCTGCATTCCTTTACCTAAAGCAAGAAGCGGGTTTCTGGAAAAATAGAGTCAATTGTTCATCTCATCCCTGTGTTTTTAGGGGGAGCTTAATGGGCAGAAAGGCCTCGTACCCTCCAACTTCCTAGAGGAAGTGCCTGATGACGTAGAAGTCTATCTTTCTGACGTGCCGTCCCACTACCCGCAGGACACGCCGACACGCTCGAAGACGAAAAGGGTAAGCACGTGTGTTCAGCACTTTTAACCCCTGTCCCACTCCGCCACAGACGGTCTGCTGCAGTCTTTGCATTTGCTCTTTTTACGTCTTAGGCCGAAAAGCATACACCCTAAATTTTTTCTCTGCCCTTCCATGGGGGTTGTGCCTAAAAATTCTACATCAGGTTTGTTTCACCAAAATGCCCCTTTCAATCTAATCAATCTGCTTTGCTCACAAGGGAACTTGCCATCCTACGTCACAGACGCACAGTCCAGTTTAAGAGCGAAACGGGGATGGCTATAGTCCTTAGACTCGGGGGGCAATAATGGTTATTTGCCCTGTCAGGGTTTTAACAGATCTTCTGAACAAAGGTCAAAGAACTTCTCAGCCATAAGTAACTGTCAGATTACATTTGTTTGGTGTCTCATTTATTTTTATTTTATTTCATCACTGCGAGTTTTTATATATTATATTTTTATATATATTTTATTTCTTTGCTCATCTGCTTGGAAACAGAAGAAGAGTGTGCATTTCACCCCTTAATCAGGCAAATGTAGCCTTCACGTAAGTGAGCAACTGAAGATACCTGTAAACATAGCAACCTAAGCTACCTGCAGTGGACCAATGCGGTAGACTTAAGGCTTCACTGGGGGGCTAACAAAAAGAAGAAATATGTCTCAAAAACTCACTGGACCTAAAGTGTTATTGGTCTCAGTTGTAAAGCAACTGAATTTGTAGTGAAATAAATCATCTTTGATAATCATTTCCTACGATTTACGTTAAGAATATTTGGAAGAGGCCAACATTGGGAACATATTTCTTAACAGGCTAATTGTTTGTTTACACAGAGTGTTCCAATGTCTATTCATAATTCAAGCTGCATATTGCATTGTTAGCCACTCTTGGAAAAAGCACAACCTAATAAAATGTTTACTCTGGAAATTTTACCTAAAAAAAAAAAACCGCAACTCAAGATCGAGCGGATGAGTAGTGAACACGAGGTGATCTAGAGTTGGCTCCCCATGCTGCCTGGAATGGCACTCCCCATGCTGCCTGGAATGGCAAGCAGCTTTTTCTTAAGTGACCGTCCCTGTACCTTACGGGAGAGCTGATGCGTCTCCTCAAAGCACAAGCAAGTGTCCTGAACATGCAGGCGTTTGGCTGGAAGACTGCTTTGTTGGTATACCAATGCAATACCAAGTTTAATGAAACATGCAGCTCAAATGATTGCATTAGATGGAATAGCTGGTATCTTCAGGTGTACTTTGGGATGATTTAGTAGGTGTTCTCCATTAGAATTAGACCCTGATTTTAAATCCAAGGAAGCTTGAAGCCCCTGGGCTCCTATCTGCCTGATGAACAACGAATACTCGTTATTAGAAAGAGCTTTGCTCTGGTGGGGTAAGGGAGCGAGAGGAAAGGTGGTGTTATATAATCGCAGGCATGCGTGCGACCGTAAACGCGGGTGAGCCCACGTCGTCATGCCCGCGTTAGAATACACTTCCGCTCCTGTGAAGCACCAGGAAGCACTCGAGTGCACGGAAACCCTACCATGTGCTCTGTATCGACAAAAGCGCACCTTCAATACCTTGGAAATAATGAAAGCGTACAATAAGGGCCTTTAAGCTTTCTTTGATTGAAATTAAGGTTCATTTTATTTTTTTTATTTATTTATTTTTCTTTCGACCGGTGTGTGCCATCTCCAGTATTTCTCTAGTATACTAACCCAGGAATGTACTCAACGTCAGGATCTCATACACCCAAGTAGTTTTCAAATACGAAATTCCCCTTAAGAACTTTTGCTTTTAAGATTACTGATGGGTACTCAGCCAGTATTACTCTCAACCTAATTCAAAATGACTCCTCCTTCCTGCTTCTGGTCTTAAGTTACAAAGTAAATGATTACCCAGCTCTGTGCTGCCAAAGCAATGGCCACCCCCTCCCCCGAACAAACACAAAGAAACCGAAAACCCCGCACTGGGGGCCCTCAGACCCCCCGTCTGAGCTATGCCGTGGGAGGGCCGTGTGCCTCTCACGGGATACTTAAACCCTTCAGAGACGAAACGAACCACCCTCACCTTGCCTGGTGGGAAACGGGGCAGCGCGGCGTTACCAATGCTGCGCGGCGAGCGGAGGGGTGCTGCCGGCGCTCACGCACTCAATGACCTGTACCAATGTGCCTACTAGGTTCCTCCTGAGGGTTCAGGTACAGCAAGGAGAGTGCCATCTCCCACAGCCCATCTCCATTCTGGGTCACCTACGTCATCTATGGGTACTGGTAGTCCTGGGAGAGGCAGGGAAATGTCCTCGAGAAAGAAAAAGGGGCTGCTTTCCAAAGGCAAGAAACTGCTGAAAAAGCTGGGTGCAGTGAAATGATTCACGTGCTTCCGGACAACTTCCAAATCTGTGTAATTTTCTTTAATTCCAAACTAGGGCTTTCATGACTCAAGTACTTTCCTAAAAAACCAATCATCTCCCCTGACACCGGTAGAGAAATGCTCTTTGCACTACCGTCCACTTTAAACCCAGCGCCAGGACACAGAGCTGCTGGTTCTCCCGCCAGGCCTCCGCGCCCATCCCGCTTGCTATTGCCGGGCTCTGGCGGGAGCCGGGCTGTCTCGTGAGCACGCAGGGCGGCCAGTAGCTCTTTGCAGCTCACTCCCTACCTGGGGCCCCAGCCTTTGTGCATTTGTCATCTGCCCTTGAAGGAATGATTCCAGCCTCGCTCCCTTTTCAAAACTGCTTGCCTCATGACGCATAACTCTCACTTTAACTCTGGTCTTGAAACTCCTAGTTTAACCGCCTTGATGTTCTGCCTTATAAATGCACAATGGTCTGTACTGTCCAATAAAAACCACAGTGTACACGTTGTATGTGTTGTGCATTCAGTGCCCCTCACCCTCACAGTGGTTTGAAACCAAGTTGCACAGGCTGTGCAACTATAAGATCCTGGTGTTTTGTCTTTCGAAGCAAGCCAGGCAACACACAGGAAATGTTTACTTATTCAAATCATTTAAAACAGAGGAGAGGAAGTAACTGTGGTCAAGTACCACTACTCCAACCTGCCAAAAAGCTGGTAATATTCATTGCTTTCAGTGTTACATTTTGTGGCACATGGATTTACGTTACTTTCATTATTTGTCAAAATGCCATACTCAGATAATCAACAATGAACGGCATACACGTAAAGCAATCCACATAATGCATAAGCCACACCAGAAACATGCTAAATTTAAGTCTGTTCAAAATGATTCCATACCAGTCTTCACCATTGGCACCCGAACAACAACAAAAAAGATTTACAAAGTTGCTGGCAGATGTATTTGATGGTTACTATTTTGTAATTCTTGTCCACTTGTAAATTGTTTTTACTCTTTATACATACTTTTCAGACTGCCTTTCTTTTGTAATTTATGGGAGGTTTATAAATGAATGATGAAGCTTTCCCCATTGTGTCTTCAAAAACTATACTGTAACTTGTAATATAACAGTATGTGCTAGATTTATTAAAAGGAAATTACTCAATGTGTGGTTAAGTTCTGTGTGGGTGTGTGCATGTGTACAGCTAGTGTAAAATATTTTATAGAAATAAAATTTGTTATTTTATACAATGCCATTTATTCTGTATGTTTGTTTTGAACGCTTTTTTTTTTTAAATCATAGCAGCATAACTGAATTCCTTTCTCCTATACGTACAAGAAAAACTCTGTAACGTTACCTTTTCTGGCACTACTTTTTTTCTAAAGTAATTCTGACCTGCGTTTTGGGAGTCATTTACAAAGTGCTGTCACTCTCGCATTGTTGCTGACAATCCACTCAGTGGCAAAAGAAAGGTGATTCGCACTGAGTATTTCTTGTGACATACTCACGTGCAACAAAGATGTCGAGAGTGAGTTCAAGCCATATTCATAACATCTCCCTTTGGCAACTCCAGAATTCAAACGATCTGAATAAAGAGCTACACCGGCTAAATATAATAAACACAACTTAATTTTTCAAATACAAAGCATTTTCCTGAAATCCTTAATTATTTTAAAATCCTCCCAGTAATAGGGTTTATTATCATTAAGAGGTAAAACCAATGTGCAAGGTGAAAATATAATTCAAATGCATACTTTATGAAACTGTATACAAGTATATAAAATAACTGCTATCATAATGTCATTCACGTCGAACTATGTTTTCACCTAACGCATTTACAAAAAACGTTATGTTTGAATAATTGATGATGGAGAAATACTGCATGATCTCACTCATATGTGGAACCTAAAACAGTCAAAAACACTTAGAAGCAGAGGGTAGGATGGTGGTTGCCAGGGGCTGAGGGTGGGGGAAATGGGGAGACGTGGGTCAAAGGGCGCAAAGTTTCAGTTACACAAGATGATATCAGTTCTGGAGATCTTAAGTTAAAAAAAAAAAAAAAAGCTGAAATGCTAGATTAAATGGAATGTCTTTAATTTAAAAATATTCCAGTTTAAGAAACACCAGTACAAGAAGTTAAAGTCCTCACAACAGTGTGAATGTACTTAATGCAACTACACACTTAAAAATGGTTTAAATGGTAAGCTTTATGTTACATATACTTTACCACAGTAAAAAGAAATTAATGACAGTTTCTCCAAAAAAAAAAATAATAAAATAAAATCAGTAAAAGTAGCCAGGATTAAATGTTTTGAACACATTTACAAATTTCCTAGAATATGAAAATGTAGGCAGGTCCAAAGTGATAATGAGCTGGACTTACTAGCTTTGGTGAATACTACGAAACATTTAAGGAATACATACGGCCCACTGTAGACAAATTCTTCCAGAGAAGAGAGAAGAAAGAAAAATGCCCAAACTCATGAGGCCAGCATTATCCTGATACCAAAACTAGGCAAAGACATTGTAAGAAAACTACAGACGAATAGCATCATGAATGTAGATTAAAAAAAAAAAAAATCCTTGACCAAACATTAGCAGATTGAATCCAACAATACATAAGGATGATACACTATATTCAACTGTGGTTCAACCCAGGAATGAAGGTTGGTTGAACACGCTGAAGAAAAATCAAGGTGTTTTACTGCATTAACAGAACAAAAGAGAAAAGCTACCCAGCCATTTCAATAAATGCAAGGAAGGCACTGGACACAATCAACAGCTGTTCAGGAAACCAGGAAAAGAAAGGAATTTACCTCAGCTTGGTAAAGTTAACAGTCAACATACATAACGATGAAAGACTGACCACTTGCCCTTTCTGTCAAAAACAACACAAGGATGTCCACTAGACTACTTGTATTCAACACTATACGGGAGTTTCTAGCCTTGCCATGAGGAGAGAAAAGTCATACACTTTTGAAAGGAAGAAGTAAAGCAGTCTTTATTTGCAGATGACATGACTGTTTACGCAGACAATGTTAAGGGATATCTACAAAACACGGCTAGGACTAATAAGTGAATTTGGCAAGGTGACAGGGTACAAGGTCGACATACAAAAGTCAACTGTATTTTTGTATAAATTGCATATTTTGTATCAATCTCCCCGGCAGGGAACAATTAGA